ACAGACAGCGCCATTTTATCTTCAGGGCTAGTGAAACATGTACAGTATCAGTTTTAGTAGCATTAATGTTCAATATATGTACTCTTGGTTGCAGACGAATCTAAGTGCTTCGTTGCGGTAAATGCTTGTTTCGCTCATAGATTGAGCGTATGCGCCTAGTCTCTGCGCGAAATCAACTAAATAAAGCTTCTTCTGAGCACAGTGCATGGTAACCGCGTTGCGCACGGTAGCATTTGTAATTTTATCTTATGACCAAGTCATGAAAGGACTGAGACTCTCTTAATGAGAATTGAGGCTCCCAACCTAAGATTGATGGCTGTCGGTATCAACACCTCGGACTTTGTAAAGCGGTAAAAAAATACTCATTTTCTCAGAAAAGCTGTGCGATAACATAAAAAGCGCGACCGTCGATATTAGTAGTAAATACATGGAGGCGTTAACAATGCTATACACAATTCAAGGTTGATGTGTGTTGAGACAGCTACACTGAATTTTCTCTGAGGATTAAGGTGAGTCTAATGTACCTCTACACTTGGTCCTGACTTCCTTTGCTGGAAAGGCTAATGGCAATTGCGTAATTGCAGCCACGATTACGGTGCATATGCGGATTCCTAGAAAGTTGTGCTGTTGATCTTTATGGTCAGTTCTTTTGTTTTCAGGCCAGTTGATCAAGTTGTTGAATATTCTAGTTTATAAGACACGATAATATTCCTCTCACAGCGGCGGAACTTGAAACGAAATTCTCGTGGAGCTGTTGGCTGTACCACAGCTGCACCAGCAAAATTTAATCGTCTGGTGACGCAGCCGCTCGGGTCGTATCTACACAGAAATTTATTTCGACGATATGTATATATAGTCATGCAGAGCACAGGTGGTCGTCGGATGTGAAGAGTTACATCATATTCTTGTGAGTAGAGTTTGAGTGAGTGCGCTTAGATGTGCCACTCACCAATATATAAAACTATGTCTAAAACCGACATACCTATTTTTTAATCATTTTATCATGATGCAAAGCCTGCAGATACATCCCGGGAAGGTCAAGGCCATTGTTGACGGATAATTTTCTGCGGCACTATCTTCTTTCACATCAGTATTCCGAAAATGCTGGGTACGACGTCAAGAATACGGAACTTGCTTTTGTCGAGAAAAGGACTACGGCGGTATTTTTCCACTTCGCTAACAAAAATGGTATACCAATTCCTCAAATGCAAAGAAAAGAGATTGGCCAAAGCGTTTGTATTAGAAGAACTTGAAAAGGTGCTTAGCCTGGCCAACTTCTAGCACAAATACAGCGCAAACTATGCTTAAATGACACGACCCCTCGATGGAATCGTCCAGAAGGATTACAATTGGTGCTGGGGGCGCGGCAAATAGTGCAATGTGTGAGGCTGTGAAAGAAAGCCGCATGCGTGCCCTGAATCCGGTTATTATAAATCAGATCGCTGATCATTCAGCCTTTGAGATAGCCTGTACTTTAGTTCAAGTAGACAACAATATGTATAATTGCATGATTGAGTTAGTCTCGTCAGCTGAAAGCGGTGATAAGAGCTATTATGTTTATGAAAAGGGGGTTAACTGTAATGAAGTATGCCTTCGTCAAGTTCAGGGTGCGGCCGCTAAGCTCCAAGCCTTTTGTAACGTATACAAATAATGCGAACAGCGATGTCACCATCACATCTGTCACAAAGCACGGCAAATGGTCATTTGTCGTATTCGTTTTTTAGGGAAAGCTCCCAGAATCAGCTTTATGTGGTGGCGGATGCGCTTCTGCATCGGCTTGACACATGAGCTGTCGCATGTCAGAATGGTGCCGGCGCCGATTGATAAGATGTACAAGTGTTTTGCTGCTGAAAGCTTCGAAAGCAAGTGTTTAGTAGAGACACAGGTATCGTTTTTTATCGAAGGCTACGAACGAGAGACGTCTGCACCGCTAGTTTATCGCAAGGATTACTCTATCACACATAATATCAGCGCGTGCATGAGGGACCTCGATTACAGAAAACGTGCGACACCTCTTTTGGTGTAATCTTTTGGGTGGCCAATCGGAAGAGAAAACCACATACTGCTTCATGAGCACAATGTTTCGGCAGCCCAAAATATATAGATAGATAAGCGCATGTGCGCATAATTGTGAAAAGCGTCAGCGACCAAATCTTCGCCGCATGCGGTGGCACTTCGGGTCACACTGCCAGAATTTGGCACACTGTTGGTAGGTCATAAGTGTAGACTTTATTCTTGGCCTCTCAAAACACGCGTCTGATATAACCGATATTGTCGTCTTTATGAAAACTTCAAGAAGGATGACTCATTTTGCTGCTACCAATGATAATGTGATTGGTTGAAATACAGTCAAGCTGTTCCTCGACAACGTGGTTTGCCAACATGGCTTGCCAGTAGCCATTGTATCAAACAGAGATCCATGCTTAACAGCAAAGTTTTGACAAGCCTTGTTCAAGCGCTCGGCACTAAATAGGATATGACAATCGCTGACAATCCGCAAACAAATGGTCAGACGGAATATGAGACTTGCGTCATCAAAGGTCAACATCCACTTGCGTGGAGAGTCAGCGGTACCGGAGCAAGTTGCTCCCACGCATTTTCTTTATGTTAAATTACGCAGTAAGGCCTTACCCCATTTTACATTTGTTTGACATCATCTCGGGTACCTTTGACTCTACCAAGTTGCCGCAATGATCTTATCTTTGGTGAGCTGCTGATTTGACTTGCTGCAATCAAGTCGGCTTTACTTCAAAATAAAATCAGTTTTTTTCCTCGATGATGTTGAGCGTCATGCTTAGTGTGAGCGATGCTATGACTGCGAGCCACCATAAGCAATACGCCGATGCCAGAGGCAAGAAAAACACAACTGAGTTTGCTGTAAGGCAAATGTTTTTATCCAGCTTATTTGCCTATGCAGTGTCTGCAGTATATACGACAAAGTAGCGAGCAATCGTCACTGTCGCAGCGAGAAAGGGATTAGAATATACTTCTGACATCTTCTGGATGATGTGAACAACTACTTTGATCGACGTGAATTTGCTAGAGCCATGCCATGACCCCGGTCTAAGGACCCAGTCAGCTTTTGAAGAGTTTTATTTCAGACAGAGCAGCGTCTCCATTATCCCCTGCAATTAGGCTACCCTATGCTCCAAAGCAGCAAAGCGGTTCTGATCCGCTTGAAGTGCCTATTTCCAGGTAGCGCGATGGCAAAGTTAAGACAGCGTGCCTGAGGTCTGATTTATCTCATTTCTGGTGGGTCAGTGGATGTATCAGGGTTGACACATGAACTTCATAGTGGAAGGGTTGCCATTAAAAATGAAATATTAGGGCTCTTCTTTGGCAAGCTTGCCCTAGTGCCGTGACCGCGTTGCCCTGACGTACCCTTGACCCTCATCGCCTCTGGAAGAAAGGCAGGGCTGCCCGTCGCAAAGAATTTCACTTGTGGGTGGCGACCGACCTTGCGATGAATTAGACCCTCAGTCATGACTGCTACAGCTGACTTATATAGACGAGCAGGTCTGTAAGCAGATGGAGCTGGAGATAAAGTTATGTCACTTCGATGTCCGTGACGTGCATCTTATTTTACAAAGTCAAGCATGAGGCGACACTCTGAATGTACGTCTTTCTGACTGACGCTACAAAGTAAGATACTAAGACGAGTACGTCGGCGTGTTTTCCTCACCTAGTGTGCGAGCTGATTAGACCGTATTCGGTGTTCTCGCTAGCTTCAAGTAACCCATGTACATCTTCTATGAAGGGCATAGGCTCTCCCAGAAGGCTGAAGAGGCAGAGTTCCTGGGGACTGATGACATCCGGGCTGACCTAGCGCTTGCGGGGCGACTTTCTCGTGCAGAAGGCCTACATTCATTGGCACATGTGGGCGTCTTAGTTGCGCGATGAGCGCCCACGGCGTGATAAATGGGCCAGGTCCCATTACACATGTTGTGTGGACCACTTTAACTGTACTTCCTGTATAGCAGTCCATCCATTTCAGTCTTGTTGTATCAGAACTAGAAGTACATGTTAGGGAGGTTGATTTTCAATTGGCTTTAATAACATCTGTCACTTTCATGGTGTGTACACAAGAGCATCAGATAACTTGAACAAATATTGAACACAATTTGTAACGGGGTCATACGTACCCTTGTATAAAAGGGCGGGTCACACAAGATGGTGTGACCGTACATAGGTGTGGATTTCACAAGTTGCTGTAATCACACAATGGTGTGGCCACACCGTAAGTGGCAGGATTGCTAGTAGTAATGTATATTAATTAGGTTTTACCATATTAATTAGGTATTACAATGTTGATTAGGAAAACACTAAGGTTTTAGATATGCTGCAACTAAAATTAAATACAGTTTCAATTTTGAACGGAAGAGTCTCTATACCTATGTTGGGGTTTTAAAAGTTCTTGGAGGTAGCGGATTGCGATCCGGTGCACTCGTACAGGTTCTTGTTAAGAATGTAAGGTCGGTGACCTTAGCTTAGCTTCCTCTGAGCGGCAGCCCCGCTGCACAACTGAAGCATGATTTTATTTGAACCTGTCTCAAGACGAAGAGTTTGAATTGTATACCTAGAATCTGCGATGGTGGAAGACCATCAACTGGTCGGGATCCGTAGGCTTAAATGATTCGTCAATCCATGCCGAAAATTATTTATCTGAGCGGGATCACTCATCGATGTTGACTCGTTTGAGCGAACAATTCGAAATTTCGATCTCGTTTTTGGTCGGCTTGGCAACATTGATTTCCATTTTCTGTGTGCACGACCATCAGAATGGCTTTTTGTTCAGTCTGTCTATTACATCTGCATAAAGCTTATAGTCTGACTTCAAGTCATAGCGTTGCGCACATGGTACATGACACTCAACGTCCTTGAGATGACATCGTCCCTGAACTACAAAGTATTTAGATTAGATGCCAGCAAGTCGATAAGTATTGACAACCCAAGATCGGAGATGTCAGAGGAAATCGGAGATTAAACAAAATCGCTGTATCTTCGATAATAATTTGTAAGTTTTTTATGAGCAAACGCATGAACTGAATGGTTTGATTATGCAAAGTTGAAGCTGCTATATTAGAGGGGCTTACTCGCGTAAGTACTCAGCAGTGCTGATCGCTCGTTTTTGATTGATTCTGATAAAAATCTCGGTTTGCTGTCATACCTTGTGTATCATTTAATTGAGACATGAATTCAATCAAGTCAATGAAAGCCCCCATACATCTCATTTCAAAATTCTTTGTGAAAGTTGCGATTAAAATGACGGGGGTAAAATCGGTCAGGTGATAAGGGAACAATGTGAATTTATTTGCGCTAGTAACAGAAGTTCGATAGGTTGAGGCTTTTCTTTCAACGGTGGTGCAAGTAATGTTTCTGTTTTTTAGCGCGGCAAACATTGCTGTCGTTTAGCGTGAAGTGACCACTGCTACATCGAAATGGAGTCGAGCACCTTGTACAAGAGCTTATCATCTTAGTCTTCGAGTAAAAGTTCAGTATATATGTAGTTGTGCTACAGTGCACGTAAATGTATTGCAATGGGGTTTTAGAGACAACATTAACGTATTTTTTAGATTGAAAGACCACTTCGAGGGTCTTAGAGACCACGCTGATGTACAATGGACATGTAGTACAGATGCGATGAGAGCATAAAAACCTTGCGCTAGTCCGCTACTGACGATGTTTTTCAGAGACTTCCCCACACCAGTTAGACGATCCTTACTGATCTATCTGCGTTCAATTTGCTCACGAGCGCATTGATTGTTTCCAAGTGGACGCCAGCAAAAATCTATCTTTCATACAATTGCGGCACCAGAATCTCCACCGAAAGCTGGACAAGAGTACATGAGGTGCCTTTTAAACGTACTGATGGTCATGCAAATACCTTGCCAAGTCCGAGCTTGTTTTCTTGATATTCGTCAATTTCGAGTTTCAAAATGTCGTCACGTGCTTACAATTCCGTTTCAAGGAATAATGAACGATTTGAGCTGAAGTGACTTGAGAATTGCGGAATATAAAGCAGGATCGCGAGCAACAATTTAAACGCTCTCATCTCTTCTTCATCCGGATTAGAATTAAGTTTTCCACAGTGTGTTCATCCGTCAAGTGGTGATCGCATTTCACCGCAAATCTTGGCCCGACAGAGACACAGGTGATAAGATCAGATGTGAGAACTCTGGTTCGAACCAAATTTTGATAATTAGAAGGCTCCAGTTTCGAGTTCTTATACTTTTATATATCAAAATTGAACTTATAGATAGAGGGAGGGGGTAGGTTAGAAAAAAAGAGAGAGGCAGTGCTAAATTTTATTTTTGAAACTTGGAATGGTCAAAATTGTCGACATGGAACCGGGTAAAATTACGGTTCGGAACACATGCTATGCTGGATTTTAATGACTACAATCATTCTGATGACGCGTCGAATCGCCATACCTGCGGTTCAGAACAACCGGAACTCGATAACTACACTTAGACAATTCCGGCAATACCAGAGAATTCTCATTAGCTCGTGCGCTTTTTCAATTAGCGTACTTCAGTGGACCACTTCGTCCGCTCAACTTGTATTTGATATAATATTTCGAGTACCCCTAGACCCTATGTGCCTTGTAGTGCAAATGGAACAAATAAACTGCATGGTACATTAACATTCTTCATTGTACCATGTACCAATGTACCATGTACCATGTACTACAAATGTAGTACTATCACATAGTTCATCATACGTATTGATAGTTGGTCACGGTGTACGGTACTCGTAAAAATCCACGTGTTCGAGTTTTCTGCTAGCAAAGCCCTTTTCTTGCATTAAACGCTCGTCACCACGATCCACATACACGACAGCTTGTCCCGCATGGCACCGCATCGCAATCGTCCAAGGAGAGTGTGTACGGTATGAAAAAGCTCAAGCTTATCGATTCAATAGAAATGAACTCCGAAAATAAGCAATCACTATTGGCGCAAAACTGGTGGACTAAATCCTTCCAGTTCGCTGAAGATTGCTGCAGGACTCATAAGTTCTGATCAGGACTGTAGCGCGTTTCTTATGTACACATAGGGCCGCGCACATTTTTTTTTGAACTTGGCCGAGAGGTGATAGTGACGACATTCACAGTAGTCAGAGCGAGCCTATGTAAGGTGCTCAGCAGTTCTTATTCCTGATCAATTGGAATTACGCTAATCTCAACCATTTTGCTCGCTTACATTAAAAGGCGCGTCACACCTTCGAGCTGCTTACAGCTGTATTCGTAACTGCTGACGGTACTTTGTATTCAGACTTAAATTATAAGACAGTTATGACGGACTCCCCCTTCATATCAATCAAAGCTTAACGGCGACACCTTCGCAAAGTGTTCTAAAAGAATGTATGAATTTTGAGCGAGCGACCCATCCTCATGCTTCATATTCGAGAATTTTAGAAGCAAATACCTCGTATGTACTTTAGAATTAAGCAAATACTGACTACTATTAATTTTTCAATCGGTCGTAATATCGCCGATGACGTCGTGGACCAAGTATGGATCAATCCAACGATCTGGTGGCGTTGCCCACCATAGACCGTGTGTGCGTATGCAAGATAAAGTACCAATGCACTAGTAATGTATACAGCTCCGATAAACCAGTTGCTGATAACATAGACCAGGCTTAATGCGATACGTGAAGAGCCGGGCGGACTACTGTCACCTCATCGCGATTACTTCAGGCCCGCAAAGCATTGACAAGTCGATTACCTTTATCTAACTTCATAACTGCAAAAGAGTTTCAACTTTTGGAACTGCACCATTCATTTCGGATCGAAAAAACGGGTAAGCTTGAATCGTTTCTGTACAGAGTCAATCACATGACGGATACGTTTCGATTAAGGCTGCATCAAATAATGAAGTCTGCATTTGTTTCAGCTCAGCGCTGTTAAAGTAAGCTCTGATGCAGTCGTGGAACTAATTGGTCAACTGCATGACCTCCTATGAAGCAATTTTGGAAGAATTTCAATGTCTGATGGACAGTCCTTTTAAAAACATTTGACTGACCTCCTCATTCATCTTCGTTGTATAATCGCAATTTGATCAAGTCCGGCAACTGCGTCGCCCTCAAGCATATGCATTGGCCCTCCAACTTTAGAGCGTCACCATGGTGTCAAAAAGCTTGATTTTCGGTTTCTATACGGTGCAGGAGGACAGTGGTCCACACAAATGTACTGTCGATACTGCGATCCGCAATCAGTGGTGCATCCGTTCTCTGGAGCATTTCCTCGAATCTTTCTCACTTTCTTCCGTACCCACACTATTCAATCGCAGTTCAATTTTGTACATGATCTTGTTCCAGCTAAATGCATCGTGGCATTTTGCTGATTTGCAGGCCAGGTACCACCTGCAATTTGTTGTGTAAGACCGAGCCCAACGCGACGTTCGTTGGGTCCACAATGGACACAAGCTGCGCACGTCTGGCTTACTATAGCATCTGTGGCGATGCGCTTAACAGATATCGAATCAAATTTTCACGGCGGGATCTTTCGGCGGCTAAGTTGGTTAACGAAAGGGCTGCTGTCCTGGTCTGCATTGTCGATTCGACAAAGCAGCTGCACTGTCGAATCGACAAAGCCGCTGCACTAGACTTAATATCAGTAGTACTTGTACTGCAATTTTGTATTTTAGTTTGCTGTAGGACAAATAAATTGGTGACAAAAAGGGTCGCGCAGTCACTGGGGATGTGTAGAGATTGTAAGTACATGGTCATTTATCGCCGCAAGGGGATGTCCATGGTACTACTGTGACATTCTTAGTGGCAAACAACAAACACTGTAGGTTACATAACAGTTTTTGTAATGATTGCGCGACCATTACTGTGTTCGATAGATCGCTGCATATCGTAAATGGGCTCGCCGCTGTTTTAGTAGCTCACATCGGGTGCGCGCAAACACATCCAGATTTTTGGCGACCAGGCAGCGCCACACCTTAGTGTTTAAATTCTACCAATCAACGCAAAGCGCGTAACGTGGGCAAATTGTTGCTATTGGTTCATCTTGCTACTTTCTTCAAGAAAGTCTCTTGTCACGTGCGCCAGAAAAGATTCAGGGAGATGTGCTGGGACACGCGATGGGATCTACCCCGGCTTTGGGCGAATTCTGTCGTGCCTTTGCATCGTTGACCGTAAATTTAAAAATTTGTCGGTTACCCGGCGAGATTGAGCGGTGTATTGATATCATGAGGGTTGACTCATGGTCGAGTTTGAGCAGTTGGGTGATGCTATCTTAAGTGACTAGCTACAAGGTAATTAATTACTTTTCTTTGCTAACTGCCGTCTCAGTTTGACACGTGTCTCAAGAGAAAAGCCAGATAGAGAAATGGCCACCTATTGATCACACAATCGGCGTTGCGATTGGAGTTTAAATAAAGATTGAATCGCTGCTGCACCCCTAACCTCTCCGGCTGCCCCTTCTTTCCCGTCTGTGCATAGCCAGAAGCAGATGCGAGGGGGGAGGCTGCTCCAAGGGTGAGTGGTCGTCCTGCGCTTATTACCATTCCTACCAGGCCGTTGGTACTCCACTCGCCTCGCTCGTCTTCGTCTCTGCGGTGCCTGTCTCCTTATCTAAAAGTATTTTTTTTGCCGGAGCACATCAGTTAGTTTTATGGCCTCCACGTCCACATCTTCGGCGTCCCAGTCCCCATCCACTCGCAATACTATCATGCAGCCGCAAGATTCGAGCGCCGCTGCACTCGATGCCTCGGATGCTTTCAATTATGATCCGGCTTCTTACCAACGGTATGCGCAAGAGCGCGCGATGCATGAGTTAAATGTTCACAAATCACTAGTCGTTAATGGCTCAGCTAATTCCAGCAATGGTCATAAGGATCACACAATTGCTACTGACATGCAGACCAAGACCGAGCAATCGTCCGTTAATACTTCCCCGACTAGTGTCACTAAGATGCAGTCTCAAGCTTCTACATCCGCTGCCTCAATCTCTAACACGATTCTTAAAAACTCCTCTGTTACGGCTCGAAATGATTCACTTAAATCCAATCGACTCTGCACCATGCCTGGTTGTACAAAGCGTGTGCGCTCTAAGGGTCTTTGTAAGGCTCACGGGGGCGGTCGACGTTGCATGGTGGATGGTTGCGAGCGCAGCAGTCAGGGCCAGGGCCTTTGCATTCGTCACGGCGGTGGTAAGCGCTGCACCCAGCCTGGTTGTACAAAAGCATCTCAATCGAACGGTCTGTGCAAGGCTCACGGTGGCGGCTTGCGCTGTCAGAGCTCTGGATGTACCAAGAGTAGTCAAGGTGGTGGCTTTTGTCGTGCACACGGCGGTGGTCAACGATGTGAGAAAGAAGGCTGCAACAAAGGCGCACAGCGTGGCGGTTTTTGCGCTGGTCACGGCGGTAGTCGATTCTGCCAGCATCCTGACTGCACTAAAAACGATCGTGGTGGAGGCTTTTGTGCTGAGCATGGCGGTGGGAAACGCTGCGATCATCCAGGATGCAACAAGCCTGCGCGCAAGAAAGGCAAATGCTCTTACCATGCCAATGCCGCTAAGGGCAAGCTGCCCAAAGATCAGCTTGCTACGGCTGTGTCCTTGCCGCAGCACATGATGGATATGCGACAGATTACAACGCCGACGTTTGCAATGGGTGTGAAAGATTTGCGGGATTCACATGGTCAAGTCGACCCGCAGCGCGCTGCATACTTGCACCAGCAGCGCGTTGAAATGGACATGCGCTATAAAGGCTACGATGCATCGAGCAACGCTGGCCAGTACCTGCAGATTCACGCGGACCAGCGATCATATGAGCCTATCAGTCTCCAGGCTAACAACTCCACTCGTTATCATGTGTCTGTGGACAACAGTGCCCTTCCTTCCGTGTCTGGTGGTATGTACAAATCTGCTGGTGCTATGGACCGTCAAGCTTATGTATCGCGCGCTGCTCCTGATCATATAAAAAATTCATATTCGCAACATTGGACCTCAAAGTCAGAGTTACCACAGCATCATTCGGACGGAAGGGTTGACTACTTTGATGTCAGCAAGGAGCAGCAACAACAACATCACTCGCAACAGTCTAGCCACCACTTGCCGTACCCCTCACAATCGTCGCAGTACCACCACCACCTTAGCCCAGCAGACTCAGCCGCAGCAGCTGCAGCATACAGTCAGCAGCAGGCTACTCGTGGGTACTATAGTCAGCACCCGCCGCATTCATCTGCATCCGGTGAACAGTCGACGTCTCAACAGCAAACAAATATGATGTATTACACTGCGAACGGATATCAACCCCACCAAATCCATAGCATTCAGCAACAACAGCAGCAGCAAATGCAAATGTTATGAAGCCCAGCATAAGGTGGCTGTACGTCGTGCTCAATTCGACGAAGGTAAAACTGAGTGCTAGCAACTCGGTGACTTGACTGCACTGTTGTAATAGAGATAGAAACGTCTAGCTATGGATCGGCAGCGAATTGTGTTGATTGCTGTTGGTTTCGGCACAAAGCCTTCCTTCCATTTAAGTTTAAATCTAGTCTAAAAAGTCAACAATCAGATACGTTGTTTCATCGAAACTCTAAACCTGCGAACGTTACTTGACGCGCCTCAGCCCATGTACAGCGGCACCACCAACATCTTGATTTCTTCAATGTGCAAAAGATGGCAAGTAACTTCACCTTCCCCTTCTCTTGCTTGAATAAGTCCCGACTTTTTCGGTGTAGGGCAAAGGGCTTCCACGGGACAGGTGCAGCGCAACTTACATGTAACAGTCAAGACAGCTAAGCTACATTTTTTTTACACATCCTGGTTAGAAATTCGGGTGGAACACAGTCTACGAGCTGCTTCGACCTAAGCGTCGGTGCTGAAGCATTTCGGTCTCGTCGATCTCAAAGTTAGAACCTCTTTCGTGCTGTTGCCTGGCAGAGAGACTGTTAGATCGCCGTCGATGTACAACGACCACAGCACGTCTCCAATTCGGACTCTCGACAGCAGTCGGGCCACGTATATCCTCCAATTTGGCATTACGGGCCGCACCGCTTCGTCTTGACTGCAATTTGGCCCGCAGATAGGCTCCCATGGCCGATGTGGGCAGATGTAGCGGTTTAAACGATGAAATGTGCGAAGAGTTGGTGGCATCCTGGTTGTTGGCGAGAGCCACGCGAAAACTGTCTTTGCCGGTGTAATAGTGACGATAACATTCGACAAGTTCATGCTCCATGCCCGCATATAATTCAAGCAGCCGCGCGGCTGTTAAATTGTTTTCCGGTTCGTAAACGCGTATCAGACGCTCCAACTCTGTGCGGTACTTGTCGGCGTACCTCTGCTTGCCTGAGCTTTGTCCTTGGCTCATACTATTTTTGCGTAAGGATTTTTCGAAGAAACCTTAGTGGACGCCTCTAAGAAGCCATTATTGGTGAATTGTACTTTTTCGAAACGTTTTTTTCATCTGAACTGAACTAAAGATTATGCTCTGATGCAGCTCAAAGCTCCACGATGCCAATTATTATTACTTTTCCGCTGCGTCTGCATGTAATGTGCAACTCGACTCAGTTTGTATCTTGTGGTAAAGTGTTTGGAAACAATTGATCAACGTGGCAATGCCGGTTCGCAAGCCATCGTCTTGCGTTGGAGAAAGTGACTGTGTCGCATGAGCAAAGTCAATGAGACGAATATCGGCCCCAAAGGTTTCTGCCACAGCGTTTGGGTCTTGGATTGACCTTTCCCCGTCGTATAAAAAGAGGAAGGAGCTAGCGATAAATCGTGTCCCTCGCTGCTTTTCGAACCAATCTCTAAGTTGGTCTAGGCGACGCAAGAACTAAAACATGCCGCAAATCAATAAAAGCTTGTATCACAAATTCGTAAGCAGACACTCCTCAAAACTTACTGCCTCCAGAAGCACAATTGTCTTCGCAATGTCATTCGCTGGAAAATAGCGTTGAAAGGCTTGAGCAAGATGGTCCACATCAGCGATGTTGCGGCCAAAATACTTATCATATACATTGTAGTTCATTTTTGCTCGATCAAATACCTTGATGCCTTGGATGCGAAGTCCTACTATCTCCTGCAACGGAAACTTCGATTTCTCGTGTGCAATTTTTTCAGCTGATGCGTCATCCTCGTAAGATTGAGTGCCCATCTTGACATCCATGATACACGGCCACTTTCTGTCCCAAGTAAGATCTTCTAGCATCAAGTACTCTGGTACAAATCAAAAACATAACTCGTTATTTTTCGCATTCAACTTGAGAAAACTTACTTACGTCCGGGATGCAATTCACTGCCCTCCTCGCCATTCGCGACCTCCGGAACTATAATTGTTCCGTAATATTTCGGCAAAAATTTTTGTAATTCTGCAAGTTCGAGCGAACCAGACTCTAAGAAAAATACGCGTTCATAAAACGTGCACTCGTTCATGCCTCGCCCTTTGCTTTGAAAAGGCTTCAAGATGCGTCCGTTATTAGCCTTCAGACCTGGCAAGCGCAGCGGAAAGACAACAATAAGCGCACATATTAGCCGTACCAACAGTGTTACACGGACAAGCATAATTTACTCGTTTTGGAAGTGGCATGGCCACCCACTTGGTGTGCCATCTTAGTGAACCCCTGCAGATTCGCCATCATCAGTATTTAGAATATCTGGGATAATCTTCAATTCGAAATTGAGCATCACAATTTACCATGTAGTAACCAATTCTTGTGCAGGTCTTCTGCCAATGATGTTATCTATCAAAGCTGCTTAACTCCAATCTATAACGAAAATCTTCATTTTTATTAACCGCCAAAACTCGTCACACTTAGCATTTGAACAATGCTGAATAACCGTGCAACAAGTCTGACTTGTCTGGTAGCCTCACGCAGTTCTTATGAATGCAGATAGTGCCGATTCAAAGGCAGCGAGTATTTGCTCCTCATAAGCAGCATCAGCATTTGCAAATAATCGCTAGATTATATTATTTTTAGATTTCTCCGACCGATCAGTACAAGTAAGTCGCAGTATTTCTCAAAGGCATTTACTCAGCGGTACACATGTAAAAAAATCAAAAGCAGAAAATTCACCAAACAGTCGAGAGCCCACACAATTCATTGCGCAGTCCAATTACTCAATCTCCATAATCTCCCCCAAGCTCTGCCGACTTTTTTCTGGTGCTTGTACAATAGGATCATCCCAAGTGGTGCTCGTGTAGATGAAAGCCGAGTCGCATAAAGAGATAGCATGGCACGCGTCTCTGGGACTTTTGCCTTCGCGCATGAGCGACACCAGCTCGTCAAACTTAGAGGTAAGCACATCGCAGCGTGCAAGTGGGGGCAGCACAGTGCAAATGGTTTCCAGCGTCACCTTGGCCTCACGCAAGATATTGTCATCATTCTTGGCGCGCTCCAAGATGTCAGCAGCGTACTCGCAGAACAGGCAGCCCACGAATATCGAGTTGGACTCGGTTGCCGCCTCAGTCACCGAATCACACCCGACTGTTTGGGCGCAGATAGCACTGATATCTTTGCCGTTCTTTAACGAATCAATGATCATGTCCTTGTGCTGTAAGAGTAGCTCGCACTAGTTTGATAAACATCGTTAGCTAATGAGATCGAGCTAAATAAAGGACACGAATTTCTTACATCGTTGGATTGAGGGATTATCTGGCAGATTAATTCAATCTCCCTTTCATAGATTGCCAGGCTTTCTGGTCGTGTAATCAATGACTTGAGCAAAAGCGTGTTCTGTCGACAAGACGCGCAAATTGTAGGCAAAAAGTGCTTGCCAGATAAGTCACGCGTTAAATCTCGTGAAGTTTTTGAAAAAGCGCAAAGCTTCAGCTCTCGGCAAACTTCTTCGGGCTGTTTTCCGAGTTGCAGGTCGGAAATTGCTATATCAAACCTCTCAAGGTCGATGTGGCACTATACACGCAAAACAGTAAAGCCATCAAGCAATTTTAATAAATAAGTGCACTGCTTGTGCTGCATACCGTATCATCAGCGGGTAACAACTGGCACAAAATAGCTGCAGCTTCACGCATTTCCTTTTTTTCCTCGGGTTTCAGTGCATGTACATACTTGAGCATCAAAATAAGATCACTGCATGCTGCGCACGAGTTGTTTCTTTCTTCGCCACGATGGATGGCAACTAATTCAGGAACGGACTGTTCAATCTTGGCAAGTTCATTGTCTTTCGAGCAGATTTTTAAGGTAGTACACATGGATTCTGGCGGGACACCCTTCTGGAGAGCGTCAAGCATTACGTCCAATTGCTTGACGAATGAATGACACTGCAAATGTGTAAACATTATCTTAGCCTCCTTATAAATCACAAAAATTTGGTATTCAATAGCCACCCACCTTGTTGGTGTTCGGATACATCCCGCAAACGGTATTAGCATTTCTTCGAAAAAGCGTTAGTGCACGCAAATCATGTTCTACGGTCTCCGCAATAACAGACGCCACTTGCTTGCACAGCACGCACCCATCAGTGGACGCTGCAACTTGCGTTAAAACAAGGTCAAAGGCTGAGACATCGCTATTCGCAGAATTTGGGCCTTGTGTTGCGCAAAACTTTAACTCTGTACAAATAGCCTTAGAACTCATACCTTTGGTAATTCCGTCAATGACAAAATCAAATTCCTTCATGTAGACATGACAGGGGTTGTCCGAGCCAAGCATATCACAGATCATGTCAGCATAAGCGCGAACTTCACGAATATCGGTACCATACTGCTGGAGAGCAATCTTCATGGCAGTGGTGGCAAATTGGCAGTACTTGCACTGAGTCGTGTTTCCGGGATGCCACAGAGAGGCTGTAACTGCGCCCTCAATTTCGTAAGCGATAAATGGTGCAGCATCATCCCAGCGCTGATTCTTGTTGCAAACATTCAATACCTCGCAGGACTCAAAAGAGCGCATGCCTCCGTTTACCATTTCTGCGATCTTGTCAAACTGCATGTCGAAAAAATCGCAATTGTATCTTGACGGTACAAGGGTGCACACATTTGATAAAATATTCTTGAAATTCGGTAGCTTTCCAGGTGATGCGAAATTAAGGTGATGAATTACCTCAGCAACTCGCGAGCAGAAGAAGCAGCTATCGTGAGGCAAGTACACATCACCGTTTAACATGGCCCAATTTTTATTAGCTTCAAGTCCCACCATCCGCATCACATCAAGACGGGAGATCGCATCGAAATCAGATGTATGGTCTGCAATCTCAGACGGGCAGTAGCTCAACGTCTTGCAAATGGCACGAGGGTGCACTCCTTTTTTTAAAGAATCAATAACAATGTCCAACTGGTTTACATACTGGTGGCACGGACTTTCTTCTCCCAACATACCGCAAATAATGTCAGCGTAGTCGCGAATTTGTTCAATCTGATCAGGAGCCTCCTGTAAGACCACCTCTACCACAGTCGTAGCTGCATCACAGTACACACACGACTTTTCATTTCTTATTGTCGGGTTTGATGAAAGAATGTCATTTAGAATGTCTACATGACAGAAACTTAAGTCGGCGCAAATGTCACGCGGATAACGATTCAGCTGCACCAGCTCCACGATCTGATCAAATTTTTCTTCCACCTCCCCGCACTTGGATTCCGATAAAGCGGTCACGCACATCATTCCTAAAACCGACTTGACGATAGGAAGCTGCTCGGGGAACACTTCATTGACATGGTAAATGACACCTGCGACGTGGCTGCAGAACACGCACGACGTGTCGATATTTGCGGAGTCAATCACCACTAAAGAGTTGTCCTCGACCATGAGAGAATCCGGAGAAGATAAAAAAGTATTCAACGCTAAACTGTCCGTGTCGCTGACCGATGGGCACATGGCAATTCGGGTGCAGATAACTAGGGGATCAGTGTCGTGCTTAAGCATGTCTACAACTTCGTCATAGTTTTTCAAAAATGTGTGGCACTGGGAGTCGGCTGACATGGCGTCGCACAAATCACCTATAATAGCTCGAACTTGTTGTACCTGCTGTACCTCCTGGGACAGCGCCTGATCAACCATATCCACGAATCTTTCGCACAACTTGCACGACAGATTGTTGGCGTTTTCCAGATCCGAGACGATCTGCATAACTTCGCACACCTCGTCGTCAGTCTTGTCCATCATCAGCAACTTTTTAACCGTATCCTTCGCGTCCACAATCGACTTGCACTGTAAACAATAAAACATCATTTAAGTACTAGTCTTTAATGTGATCCATCACAAGTAAGAAAGGTGTTTCGCACCTGCATTACTAAATCGACAAGCTCAAGATCATCGCACGACGACTCGCCCCAGATTCGCAGCGATATAACGCCAAGAACTGGGCGAAAAATATCCAGTAGCGTCTTCGTCTCAGTCTGTAGCTGATCCTGCTCATGAATGTTTTGGACCGCCTTCATGCATGCGCGCTTCCTATCATCCGTCGAGTTTGACATCTTGGAATCTTCATCAATCACAAAAACACGAAGGACGTCATTCTGATGTTTCTCAGCACCGAAAAAGCGCTGCAAGAAATCCCCTGACAACTGTATGTGTTCATTCAACGAGGCGGTTAATGCCGCGACAAAGTCCTTGCCCTCTCCCTCCTGCTCGTCTTGGCGAGATAGATTAATCTCTCCTGAATCATGAATGCCCAGCTCAGCGCTCACAATCGCCGATGAAGCGACCACACTCAAAAGCAGCGGGTGTACAAGACGCATTCTTCCACTCTCTCCCTACAAGATCTTTATGCTTTGAACTAAGCGAAAGGTCGGATGGGACGAGTTTTCCCTTTCCAAACGAATTAGAAAGACAAACAGAATTGAATCCATAACAACATTGTGTGGTTTACATTGTTTCGACCATCTAGCCATAGTACTGTACCGTAGATGTCGCAGAGCTATACCCTCAATCCATCAGGTATCCATTATAATTTGTCTTGGCATCTTCGACATCTGTTAACATCTAGCGATCTTACTGTTTCTCCACGGGTCGCAACAAAGTCTTGCCTTTTAGACTGTTTAAATCTCCTTGTAACTAGGTAAGTACTGTACGTAACGCGTTAACGTGTACTCCGTACAAATGTACAATTAATGTGGAAATGTACAAAATTTACACTAAACTTTAGTGAAGTCAAACGTACCGAATGATGTAATATAGTAATTGAATTGATGACAGATCCGAATTAAGAAAGATACTTTTTTTTTTTAATTTTAATTACCTAAAGATACTAGAGTATCTTGATTCAAGAAAATGATAGAACTCCGCCGTGTAAGAGGAATACGTGGTACATGTGGGATACTAGGCTAACGACTGACTTAGGCTGGAACGGGGTACACATACCCTGGTAACATGGGTGTGTGTCACACGAGATGTGCATGGTGTGACTGCACCCAAACAAGAATACATATTAATAAAAAAACCGTTTTGGAGTTATATATAATTTATTACGTATTCGTTTTGATAGTCGTTTAAAAATTAAAATTAATGAACTACAACCTGTTGTTAGATCATGCTGTCCGCCAAAATGACAAGATTATTCTCGAGAATAAGCATCAGATTGTGCTATGCCATTCATCATCTGGTCACAAGCATGCGCTGGACGAAGTACCCATCAATTCAGTTACATGTGGCGGATACGAAGGCAGTGGAAATGCCTAGAACGGTTCTTCAGCATGCTGCATAATGACCAGGATTGCGCATACTACGATTTCGAGCACATCATACGAGCTAATTTTAATACGGCCATCGAGACGCTTATGATCTCGGATGCTCGCGATATATCACAACGCGTCGCAAATACATTACACTAGTTAGTGTCCGAGGTAATGGTGGCACAGTGCAGCTTTTCAGTAGTATCATGTGTCGGGGGACAAGCTTGTGGTATCGCTGCTATCTTAAGTTTCCCAATGCCCAAATCGACGAAAAAGATAAAAACGACGATTTCGAAGGTGAGGACAAGAAGGATGAAGATTGCGAGGCGGCAATCTTTCGGTAGGAGCTTAAGATATGAAAAGGCTGTTTGTTGTCTATTATAAACGGTACGGATTCGAGACTCGCCTGTGTAATGTCTGAGATGTGAGCAACTCGCTCAATTTTTTTGATGTTGATCTTATTGTTTTTTTCTAGCAGACTTCATTCTCTTTGGTGAGAGTGATAGTTGCTGAAAGTTGAATGACTGTGATTCGTCAGCTAGTGACGCATCCCAAAAGCGAATAGCAACAGCTTCGACAATATACTGGACGTCGTGGAAACTATAAACGCCAAATGTGGGGTTAGTATCCAAGGCGATTGAGTTGCTTTCCTTACTTAATATTGTTGCAGTGCACAGAAGCACGGTCTTTTTGACATCCGCAGCTATCCTAGTAAGCGACTGTATTGTGTTCCACGATATCGCTTTATCTTCGTCGTGCACGTATACAATGTACTGGGAATGATAAGTCGCGGCTGAACCTTGATACAGCACGTAGTGTGCACCATAATTAAGCCCAGACTTCAAAATCCAGCCAAGATGTCGAAAATGATGGTACACAGCCAGATTCCTCGCGAATGTCGCACTTGAGCTGCAAGTAGAAACTGGTAAGTATCTTGTCACCCTGATACACCAACGTATTACAAAATTTACCTTTCAAATTTTTTCCACAGCTCTTCTAAGGAATGATCATATGGTAAAATACAGTTGTTTATAGCGTAGTACGTTTCTGGTAGTGACAAGTGGCGTCTCCTCTTACTTCTCTCACAACTCTTTAACACTTTTGACTCGTGTTGTATCGAAAGCTCGCTCTGCCACTTAATACCAATGCTATTCTTCTGAAAAATCGTCCACACGTCGCTGTCCTCCACTTCAAACGTCACCTCCGTCTCCAACCCACTAGGTAGCATCTGCCATGTCACCATCTTTGCGACTATTTACCATTAAACAAATTCAATTGAGATTAAATTTCATAGTGTTGGTGTTAGCCGCACATCAGTTTATCATAAAAATAAAAAAATGTATTTATCCAATACTAGTCTCGACATCGAGTTCTTAACATGTGTACTCTTGAAACAGCATTATTAGTACTTTGAGTGACTCTCGGGTCGGCTCCATGGAGGATTGCACGAGCTCAACTTCAGTGTGTTTTGTTGGAGACCGAGAATCGAAGCTTCCTTTGTGCAAAGGCTACAGCAACCCCGTTGAATTTGGCAGCACTCGTAGTCATCCCACGATCGAGGCGAGAGAGGATTGTATCCTCTGTGAGGAGGAAATATAAAAATTCTTTGAGTAACGATCGCCAGGAAAAATATCCATTTAGCAATCTTTTGCCGATTTTGAGTCATGGAGGCGCGGCGGCCAAAAAGAAGGAGGTGGTAAACGCTCGCCTGGGGGCGTCCGCCAGTTAAGAGGACGCTGGTGATGCGCACTCGAGAACTCCCTGACTGTGCGCTGTGCAAAAACACATGGTTCCAGTCGTCAGACTGCTGATAATAAGTGCCCAAGCCTTTGACTACCGGCGCGGTAAAATACTTCCGTATCAATGAAGAAAGCTAATATGATCTTGTTTCAAATAGAACCACAGTGTGTCGCGCATGCGATCTATTAACTGGGGGGATCGCACGCTAGAATGGGCACTAACGTGCAATGCCTTGGTGGAAACGCACTCCAACGTGTGGTAAACTGATGCGACAGTTGACACGGGTGCTCGCATCACCTGTCCGGGCACTGATTACTTGTCGAAGGATACGAGAGCTGGCCATTCTATGTTTGGGGCTTGATGAGTCAATTAGCCGCAACAGCGCCTGACTCCTTTCAAGCGGCGGTGACGGCAAACACCTTCATGGGGTATATTTGAATAGATTTCAGTTCGCAATAAGACCTTCCACGAGCACCCTACCTCTCAAGGAAAAAGTGGGCGTCAGAGTCAATGTAGAGCATCGCGCGGGCGAAAAGGGGTGCTGGGTACGTAAGCTCTACGAACGTGGAAGGGGCGATGGACCTCATACATGCTGAGAGAGAAAATAGCTGCTGAGCAGCTTTGCGGTACCCGCAGATGTTTTATCTGCAGTAGTTTAAAAAATCTGCGCTTTACGAGCCCCCATATCTATCGGCTAGGAGGTTTGAGAGGGCGGCCTTTCACGCAGGGCGGACGCCGTGCTTCTCACGGAAAAAACTTCAAGTAACAGAAAAAGCAGGGCGGTCAACTGAAAAAAAACAGTTATATTGCACCTATGGCTCGTATTCAGTGGGACCCAGTACAAAAAGTAGCAGCTTTCTTAAAGAGAGGTGAGTCACATAGATCAGTATTGGTATTATCACTCCGTGCTTTAAGATGCTATTGTAACTCCTGATAAATTTAAAAACATCGTTCAATTGCTACCGGCGAAAACAGTAGCCATTACGCACAAACACTCAAACGGTAATGTGAAACGCTTCTTTAAGCGTAAGGGGCTACACTATGCCCTTAGTCTTGAGCGAATCTTTGAGCCAATGGATACTCTTAAGTTCGACAAACAAGAAGAGTGTTTCAAACTGAATGGTGATGTTTACACAAAAGAATTAGAAAAATTGAATATCTATCGCGTTACAAAACTCACAAAGACTTTCAAAAATACCATCAACAGACTCAGTTATGACAATCACGCGATGTGCATTACAAAGTGGCAACTTTCTTGGTAAAGTTCAGTGTCCAAAATGCAAGTCAATATTCACTGAATGTGATAGGTATTTGAAGCACAATAGGAACAAAATAAAAGAAGCGCAGAGTCAAAGCCTTGTGAAAAAATCATTTGAACATCAACCAAGTGAAAAGAGCAGCAAGTCATTTTTTCCAAAATTCAGGACGAAAGATGACGGTAGATCGCCACCTGTGTCAGTTTAACGTAAATGATGTTAAAGTGGTGATGAAAACTGGGGGAAATGCAAATTTTGAAATAATGTTCCACCTTCTATTTCATCTATGAAAGCCTCACATCATTTCATCAATGCGAATACAAGTGACCTATTGATGTTTTGAGTACATCCACTAGGTTCACAAAAAATGCACAAATATAATTTCAGCAAGTTCAGATAGCTACTCTTCAATAAGTATGGTGCCTCAGCTTCTGTAGCCCCGTTCATGAATATCATTACTGAAAGTAACATCTACGGAGGAATTGATGTGATTTAGTTTGGTACTTCCATTGAATATTTACAAGGCATATAAACGTATGCATAGAGATCTTAGCTGGGTTTCTCTACTCGGATCTAATTTCAGTAAAAATGAATTCAATTTGATTAAGGATGATTTGATCACCGTTTTTGGACCGGAAATCTGCATGAAAAACTCGCACTATATATGTGCATTTCGACCGATAAAATTAAGAGCCTTTTATATTAGAGCATTCTTGGTCGAATCTAGTTATGAAAATTATCTTTGGACATCCTCGGATGATGTACACGTGAAGACAAAGTTCGCCGCAACTGCTGTCTTAGCAAATATCTGTTTCCATCTGAATGTGACACCACTTTTGAAGGACCCAATGAGACAACGATCCCACTAAAGAGTGCATTCATCAGTAAATTCCACGAATCGTGCATTAGCAATTAACATTATGAGCGAATAGGGTTTGTGTAGGAATGGTACGTTACGAAAACAATCGATGGTCTACCTGTCTGATACAACAACCTCAATGTAGTAGTTTACGCTGCTGCTATCGACCGCTAGCGAGACTTCTATGAGCGCTTTGATTTTGACGTGCTTTCCGATGTAAGTCGTTGAAAAAGCGATGCTCCGACCTGCCTTCAAACTTAGATCACTCAAGCCGAGAACTTGGTGCATTCCAGTTGAGAGTTAGATAAGGTTTCAACTTTTCTATCTGTCGATTCTATGGTAGACCGATAAGACCTGACTCATCGTATTACAATTTTAAAGAAGCAAAACCGTCTATGTGGCCAATGTAATTGCAAGCTCACAAAAGAGAATGCGACAAGCGATCACCGGGACAACTGAATAGGGCACATCGAAGAAAATATCTTGACTAGCTGCGTAAGCTGTAACATTGCTGGATTGAATATGAGCCTAACGATACATACAAATCAAAAGCTGCTTGAATTGAACGCGAATCTATTGGTATTTTTGATCTATGAAGAGCAGTTTCAACAAAAATATGAAAGCAAACATTACAGGCGGACCATCCATCGTTTTCTATCGATATATCAAGCGCAACAAGACGATATATCGAAATCGTGACAAGATCAATAAGAAAGTCATTGGAGCAGATGCTATTGTCTTGTATTTTTGGAAACATGTGAACGATGTGAATGAGTACGACGAAATCGTTAATGATATCGTGAGCAATATACTTTTTGGCTTTCTAGAGTGTGACATCGAGACGCCGGGCTGTTTCACGGATTCTTCGTGAAATGACCCTATATCTAAGAACATTGAAATCAATACAAAATTCCAGATCTTTGCAAAATGTATTATGTTGCCATTTGTACCTTCTATTGTAAAATTGATCACAATTTGTTGATTATGATCGAATAAACCTCATATAACTTTGCGTTGTATTTCATTAGGTATCAACTATAAGCAATTATGATCATTAGAATTGTAGTTATCGCTTAATAGCTTTTTGTCAATTTTGTTTCCTTCATAGTCGTATTAAATCATTCGATCTCCCCTTAAGTACCTTATTGACTCAAGAAAGAATTAGACTTGATTGTTTGTAAACTCGGATCCATCATCTGATATGATATTTTCCGCTTTATAAATGGCAACGAAAAATGCCTATAAATCGGCGGCCACTTATATGCCATCTCGTTTGGAAAAATTTAAGTGACCAAAGCGTATTTACACATGAAAACGTGAGTACTGTACTTGCCTTTGCATTGTTGCATACTCTTTGGTCAAAAATTTTGTGCTGTGAGATTTATCTGGTAAGCACCAAGTGTAGTTCATAAAGCTGATAATGATGATAACTGCATCCCCGTTCCATTCCTCTTTGAGTAGACCCAGAGTTTTTCTTGACAAATGTTGCATTCTTATTTGCATCATCACACAAGAAGCAATATATAAATGTTATGTTGGAAATGCTCTCGAAGCGCAGGTTTAACCAGGTTCTCGTTGGGATACTCCTCACTGTGCGGCGCTACATGAGTCCGTTAATTAGCTTCATCATTCTGGCAACCATCGATTTGCTTTTGTCTGGGTCTCTTTCACGTCGAGCGATTGAGACGATTTCTACAACTAATTTATATTCTGTATGGGCTGGTGTCTTGATGAATGAATGGATCTCCATGATCCGTGTTTCAGATGTAATTTCAATACGAAGGCGTAGATAAGGATCTTATGACCGAACTAGCTCCCATGAGTTTCCAAGATTATTTAGCGCCATTGGACCCTTTCGTGTGATCGTTATCGATCATGCGGCCACAAGCGACATCCTGATTACTAAACTTTCTTGGTGAAACGATTGGATGGTGAAGATGACAAATGTGTATGTGATCGTTGTGAAGCTGGCAGATTGCGGTACTTTTCTTGGTGCTTGATTGATAAGTGATGCGGAGGATAAACCACCACCAGCAATTCAACTCTCACTGATCAATCAGGTGTATTGTTTTTCTACGAGACGTCATGGTTCCGGTACACTGAAGCTTTAGGAGTGGGATTGTTGCTGATTTAACTGATGGTAGCCTATTCGAGCTGATGCTTGGGCCTTGGTGAAATTTGAAACTCTAATGAATGGCTACAATGGGCATGCATGGATTTCAATGCATGACCGTCCAGAATGTTCATAAAATAAACCAATTTGAAGCTAGAAAATTATTGGATTACCTTTAATTTATGATTCGCTCGCACCCTACATGTTACAGACGCACCCCCATCCAGGTTTCACCCAGATTGATTTATGATAGTCAACGCTGGACAATGTGCAAT